AACCAGAGGCTTTGGGAAAGCAGCAGAAGAGGGCCCAGGTCCTTGTGTTCCTGCACCCACACAGCAGACCCAGAAGAAGCTCCTGGCTCCTGGCTGCTGGCTTCAGCCTGGCCCAGCCCTGGTCTTTGCAGCCATTTGAGAAGCGAACCAGTGGATGGACAATCTCTCTCCTCTGTCTCTGTAACTGGCTTTCAAATAAATAAATAAATCTTAAAGAAAGAAAGAACCACAGGCTAAGCTGAAACAGAAAAGGAGGGCCAGACCAGAGCAGAAACGGGGGGTGAGGAGCAGATGACCTCCGGCCCCTAAACCAGATTATGAGCTTCTCTCTTTTTTTAAATTTTTATTTGACAGGCAGAGTTAGTGAGAGAGAGAGAGACAGAGACAAAGATCTTCCTTCTGTTGGTTCACCCCCGAAATGGCCGCTACGGCCAGTGCGCTTTGCCAATCTGAAGCCAGGAGCCAGGTGCTTCCTCCTGGTCTCCCATGCGGGTGCAGGGCCCAAGCACTTGGGCCATCCTCCACTGCCTTCCTGGGCCACAGCAGAGAGCTGGCCTGGAAGAGGAGCAACCAGGACTAGAATCTGGTGCCCATATGGGATGCCAGCACCGCAGGTGGAGGATTAACCAAGTGAGCCACAGCGCCGGCCCCTTATGAAATTCTCAAGGGCAAAGGAAGTGCACTCTGCTTTTTCCCTGTTCCTTCACAGAGCGTCATCTTGGAGCAGAATACCCAGTGGTGACGTCATCTCCAAGCTGACTACACACTGTTGACATCATCTCCGAGCTGACTATGTAGTGTTGATGTCATCTCCGAGCTGGATACCCAGTGGTGACGTCATCTCTGGGCTGATTACCCAGTGGTGATGTCATCTCGGAGCGGAATACCCAGTGGTGACGAGGCACAAGCTAGGAAACCACGTGACCAGGGAAGCCCGCTGACTGGGGTTCAGAGATTTAGCTCTGAGAGGAAGCAGTGCTCAGGAAAGCGCCCAGACCTGGCGCACACACACCAGAGTTTCAGTCCCACCTCCGCCATTTACCTGCTATGGCATCTGCAGTGGTTTCTTTATTCTCATTCAGTTTCTTGCCCTCTGGGGGCTGTGTGGTGCAGTGCCTTAAGCTGTTGCCTGTAATGCCCGGATCCCAGATGGGCGCCAATTCAAGTCCTGGCTGTTCCACGTCCAATCCAGCTCCCTGCTAACGTGCCTGGGAAGGCAGTGGAGGATGACTCGAGTCCTTGAGTCCCTGCACCCACACGGGAGACCCAGATGGAATTCCAGGCTCCTGGCTTTGGCCTGGCCCAGCCCTGGCTGTTGAGGTCATTTGAAGAGTGAATCAGCAGCTGAAGGTCCCTGTTACCTGGCCTCCCAAATAGATAAACTCTTTCTTCTTTTTCTTTCCTTTTTTAAAAGACTGAGATACACACACTTCCTCACTGCAGGCTGCTGTGACAATGACAGGGCTGAACGAGCCGGTGTCTGCCTGGTGTGCCATTTGTCACGCGGATTTGGATAAGCTCGGTTTTCAGACGGACTTTGTACGTCTACAGCGCAGACGAGGCCTGGGCAGGTGACAGATGTCGGCTCTGTGGCTAAGGCATCGTTGTTTACTGTGCTGATCAGGCACGGGTACCGTCGGCTAACGAGAACACAGAAAGGGGGAACCCTGCAAAATCCCAGACCAGCCACAACACCCGGGGCTCCCCGCTCCCGCCTCTGCCGTGGTCTCTTCTGCTACAGCCCTCCACACCCCTCGTCACACCAGCTTCTTCCACCTGTGACCCACGACCTCTGGTATCTGCTGCTCCCCGCTGAGGTCAGCCAGGGTCAGGTCTCCTGCAGTGGCTTCCACTCTGCCGTCCAAGGGTAGCATGTTCCCAGTTACATTTGTTGAACCCCCGTCTGCTGCGATACTGGGAGGAGAGACAGACAGCAGGAGGGAGCAGCAGCTGCTCCCCCCACCCCCCTGCCTCCCGCATTTACATCCAACACAGACATCGGTCTGCGTCCAACTGCCAGCCCGGTAGGCTTCCACAGGCTGTGGGAGAGGTGCAAATACAGGCGGTCGGGAGGAGGAGAGTGGGGGGAGCGCCGGGGGAGGCAACAGACAGGAGGGCTGCTCCCTGCCTTAGTCTGTCTGGGAGTCGGCTCGTGGCTTGCAAGGCGGTGCCGGCTCCTCTGGCAGCAGAGAGGGAACTGCTTGTCTTGGACCCCCCAGATCCCTTTCCCTAGGTGACAACCTAACAGCCCAGCCTCTGGTAGAAAGGTGGGTGTGGGGGCAGCAGCAAAGGCCAGGAAAGGTCTCCAAATGAGTGTACGCCAGAGAGGAGGCAGAAGGCACAAGATACCAAGGGGACCGGTTCTCTCTGTCGCCACCCATGTCCCCAGGCCCAGCCCCGCACAGCTCAGTGCCCACAGCAAAAGCTGGCGAAGCCGGGGCTGCCTTAGGGGCCTGGAATTGGTTTTAGGTCAGGGGATGGGGAACAAAAAAAGACAGTTCCTAATGAAGCCCCTAGACCCACCCCCATCCATCCATGGCCGTGTGTAGCCGCAGTGTGGGGGTGGAGGCGTTGTTTCTGGAGAGCTGGCTTCCTGCTGATAGCCAGAAGGGCTTAGAAGCGTGAGTGCAATTAACCAAATGGAAGCATTTGGGAAATGGAAGTCCCGGGATGCGTCAGAGGGCAGGTGTCTGCTCCGGGTGACCTGAGCTGACCCCGGCTGCAGCGCAGCGGGTAGGAGGAGAAGCTGCCTGCCAGGGAGGTGTCTCCTGCGGGAGGAAGCACAGGGAGAGGCTTGGAGCAGATGCTTGGGGCAGCGCCAGATGGCAGTGGCCGGGGAACAAAGGCAGAAGAGCCGGAGGGAAGGCGGGCAGGGACCCGAGGGCTCGCTCCTGAGGGGCTCCCGAGCTGGAGGACAAGTCACAGTCACACGTGGAGCTGGCTCAGGAACAGCCATGCAGGGCTTGGATGACACGTGGAACAAGCCCCCCACCCCACCCCCCAGCACACACCGGCCCCAAGTCCAAAGGGCCAAGTGCACAGGTCCCAGGGAGAGAGGGGCTGCAGGACTCGAGCCCGGATGCTGGCGCTTCCTTGGGCTTGGGGCAGGCTCCTCCACCCCTGCCATCAGAGGAAACTCTGTCCTGGGCTGCAGGGAGGACGGATCCCTGGGGACTGCAAGGGCCCTGGAGCACGGGGAGCACGGGGAGCATGCGGAAGCTGGGACTGACCCGCATGACGACCGCCATCACCAGGCGCCCCCACGTCAGCGCATCCTTGCACTCTCCCTTCTTCGTTAAGTTCCTCTGTGGGTGCCCCCTTTAAGCTGTGTGGGTGCCGCGGCCCACAGGGGCCAGGGTGATGTCAGATCAAGCAAGCAGCCTGCGCTTCAGGGCACCGACGCTCTCGTGCCCGTTTGTGTTAAGGACATCTGGGAAAATAACTTCTTGGAGTCTGTTTATCCACCAGTCTGGTGGGAAGGCTGCCACCAGCCTCGGTATCCCAGAACTGTCGACGTGTCAGTCGAGTGACACAATCGACGCAGACGGACGCCCCGCCAAATGGATAAAGCTCCGAGCCAATCTCCAGTTTGCTGATTAGATCGGAAGCAAGTCTGCCCCGGGGAGGCAGGAAGGAGCCGGGCATGACCTGGCTGCCAGTCAGACATGCCCCTGGGCAGGGATGCAGCCGTCACCAGAGAAGGCAGGCCCGGAGTTCCTGGGGTGGGGATCTGGTTGGGCAGCCCAGAGGGTATGTGTCCAGGGAGAGCTGGGGGACCAGGTTCAGGGTAGGGAGGGTGCATGAAAAAGGGGGCCGTGATGACACAGAGCTGGCCTAACTCCCTGATTCTGCACACACCTGGGGACCTGCCCCAGTGCCAGACACAGATATCACCTGCCCATTTCAAGAAAGGAGTGCAGCGCTCTTGCAGTCCATCCTGCACATACAGTAAAACCAAAGAAGGGTGCCCCTCCCCGACTCAGTGGGTGAGTCTGGTCAAGTTCCATAACCAGCAGCAAGGACAGGATCAAAGCCCTGTGGCAGGTGAATTCCCCAGGGGGTCCCTGAACCCTGACACAGACCTGAGCCAAGTACAACCCTAAAAGAGGCCACACAAAAATGGCTCTGATACAGCCAACCTACCTGTTGACATGAGAAACAGTAACAGCCCTCATTCAGTACACACCTGCTATACCCCAGACGCCGTGCAGGGCCTGTGTGTCTGCTCCAGTTCCACCTTTACAATGAGGTGTTCATCATTAACCCCACTGTGCAAGTGCAGCTACATTCCTACCAGGTTAAACCAGAGCCCAATCCCACGTCCTCCGCACGCTCTGCTTCCACCTTCCAACCCCTCCCCGCCTCCTCTGGGCCTCATGCCTGTCTCTCTTTGGGAGGAGAGAGGACCCCAGCCCGGGGGCCTCCAGGCGAGCCTACGACACAGTGGCGGTTACCGCCGTGTTCAAGTCACAGCCCTCACTTCCTCGCCTGCCTCGCTGCCCGGGAGCAGCAGGCAATTCGAACCCAGAATGGAACAATGCAGACCCTGGACACAGGAGAGGCTGCAGTGCTGCTGATGGCACCCTGGACAGCTGTCCATCTGCCAGGGCCAGGGCCCGCCCAGAGGCAGGCTTCTGGGGCTGCCCCCCATATGCCGGGGCTGTCACTTAGAAGACTCCCAGGTTGTGAAGGCCCACACTAAGGGGGGAGGTTCAGGCCACAGACAAAGCTGGTTCCCGATTTTTCAATTAAGGTGGACAGTGGGGACAATGGCAAAGCTAATGCCGGCTGACTGCACCTGCTGGGGCAGAAGGAGCAGGTGCGGGGAGGGCCCTGGGCTGAGGCTCTGTAGGTGCCCTGGGGAGAGTCAACGCCTCCCCACCCCCCAACACATGCCCCTCCCCCAGAAGCCACTGGAACCAGACTAGGCACATTCTCTCATCAAAGAGAAGAGGCCAGAGGCAAGAATCCCTCCACCCCACTGCACCCCTCCAACTCACCTTCTCTGCCTCATTCAGCCCCCTCCTTGCAACACCAGCGGAGGCTCTGGCCCGGTCTGCGGAGGGAAGGGAGACTCCAGGGTCCCCAAGTGCACATAAGTCAATCAACCTGTCTCAAAGCAAGCACAGAGACAACCCCGGGGTTACTCCAGGAAAGGAGAAAAAAGGGGCTTTGTGTCTGCAGCCTGTTCCTTCCCCGGGGAAAGCACATCTTTGTTCACCTCCACTAGGAAGGCGTCGCGTGGCAAAGCAGCACCTTAGTTCAAAGAAGTTCAAAGCACTCAGCGGACGAAACGGAGCGGATTCTGCTGCCCTCAGCCTTGAAATCTCTTCTTGGTGATTTTCCCGGCCACGTAGCAGCGTCTCTCCCACCCCCGCGGGACAATTTATGCATAATTATCTATTTTTTTTTTTTAGCTTCCTTAGGACAACTACCATGCTTGTCTTGCCAACCCCCAGAGAAGCAAACCGAGTTCGCTGTAAACAAACCCATAATACATTGAGAGAAAACCTAATTTTAGGGTCAGGGGACGTGGTTCCTTATGTCATGAAGGTGGGCCACTCCCCTACTGTGTCTTGGTTTCTTCATCTATAACATGGGGAGAGGGAGGGTAGAACGGGTCAGAGCGCTGGGCCCCTAGCTAGCACCAGGGATCCAAGTCTCGGCTCCCACTCCTTTAGCCATCAGGTACTGCTTCTGTTACTGATCCCATTTCATTACCCACTGTCTCAACAGAGCATGGCAGTGCGTATCACGTAAGCGTGCATTCGCTCTTCCACTGAGCAGTCCTTCTGGGACCTAACCCAGCAGTGCATCCAGAGCTGCTGAGCGACAGAAGCGTAATAGGAGAGCGCGTGTTTAATACGCATCCAACTTGAGAGGGTGGAGGGATGGGAAAACACATACGTATTTGCTTACGGTTTTTGAAACAATAAAAGGATAAAGTCACATTACATTTTTTAAAAGAGAAAGGGGGAAGAAGGAGGTAGAGAGGACAGATTCTGAATACACCTTGGTTTGTGGCTTCAGAATATGAAAGTATTTGACAGAATCGTAAAGCACAATGAAAAGTTTTGGAAGCCACTCCCGAGTGCAGGGAGAAACCGAAACAGGCTGATCCGGGAACCCGAGACAGACGCACCCCGAGAGGAAGACAGAACTGCTCCCGCCCCGCAAGAAATCCCGAAGCGCTCTCATCACTGTTATTGATGGCACTGCGGTGCTAGTTACTCTGGTGTCTACTGTGAGATACAGCAACTGAGTGAAAGTCTCGATGCTGCTGACAAACGAGATTTTCTGACTGGAAGGAGATAAAATGTAAGATCGATGAGATCAGATGAAAAACTCCCTGGTCCTGGCTGTGAACTGCAAGTGTCAGTTTGCATGTCAACTTTTATCTTAATCATGCAGGTGCACACACGCACGCACACGTTTGCTAGCTCTGCTCATTGATGGTTTAGAAACAGTCGCCCTAGTAGGAGCATGTACCCCTAGTAATCAGACCACGAACCCGGAAGACCACTCCTCCCAAAGAAGCCGGGCTTCTTGGCAAAATTACTGATTCCAAGTATGAGGCAGCAAACGTACAGGCTGGGGGCGTTTCTCCAGCCCAGAAAAGCCAACCAAGTGTGACAAAGTCCTGCCCCAGGACTCTGACACCAACCGAAGTGAGGTTTCCCAGGGCGAGTGTGACATCAGCAAGGGTGACAGCTGCAGCAAACACTGAAACCCACGAATCCCTCATGGTATTTACCAACAATCCTAAGTAAAACATTAGTCACTCACGGAGGATGTTAAGGAAATACCTCACTCAGAAGACCAGCTAAGAAACGGGGAGCAGGGCCCTGCGCTGTGGTGTAGAGGGTAAAGTCGCTGCCTATGATGCCGGCATACATATGGTTGCTGGTTCGTGTCCCAGCTGCTCCACTTCCGATCCAGCTCCCTGCTAATGCACCTGGGAAAGCAGCAAAGGATGCAGAGGTATTTGGGCCCCTGCTATACATGTGGAGACCCAGATGAAGCTCCTCACTTGTAGCTTCAGTGTGCTCCAGCCCCAGCTGCTGCAGCCACTTGGGGAGTGAACCAGAGGATGAGAAGTTTGCATATTCTCTGTGTGTGTGTGTGTGTGTGTGTCCCTCTGTCTCTAATTCTTTCAAATAATAAATAAAAAAGAAAGAAAGAAAAGGGACATGGGCAGAGGTGCGGGTTGGGATTTAGGAGGTGTGAGATTGGCCTTGTATTGGTCATTACTGAAGATCATGGTGGACACATCAGTTTTCGAAATAAAAAAAAATTCATGCCAGAACAGGTCAAGAAGTGGGAAATCACTAGAATGCTAAATTCTTGAACGATTGCTAAATTCTTTCAAGAGTGGCGGCTCTGGGTCATGGAAGGAAAAGTCGTAGCCAACTGCAGGGCGCCTTGGACACTGCCCCCGCATGGTCAGACGAGGTATCACAGTATCGAGGCAGCAGACACCTGCTGGGCTCCTCTGGCGAGGGCAGGGTGAGCCCAGCACCCAGAGTGACTGAAGGACTCTCTGGGATTGCTACCCACCCCCAAATCAATCAATCAATCTATCTCTCTTCCTCCGCACCCCTCTGCCCTGCTCCCTCCAGCCCAGGATGGGAGCTGGCCTGGGGGCTCTCTTAACACTTCCTCACCTTGGAACTCCAGGATTCCATAAGCACATATTTCTGCAGAAACAAAATAAAAAATTCTCCCAACTCCTGTGCCTCCCTGCCACCCTGCAAATATTTCACCCGTGCCCAGAGAACAGCTGCCAGTCTGTCTCTGCCTCTCTAAAAGTCTTAAATTCAAAACATTTCTACTATTTTTTGAATACCAATCCCTTCACATGGTATGAAACTTAAAAGCTACAAAGAGTATATGGTGGAAGGGTCTTTATGAGAAACCTTCCAGCCAACCCGTCCCTTCAGCCTCCCCAGTCCCGTCTAGGCCCCTCCCCTGTTCCTGGCCGACCACTGTTGCTACTTTCTTGAGTGTCTACGTGTGTGTGTGTGTGTGTGTATTCTTTTAAAAACTCTGGCACGCTATGCACATGTATTTTCCACTGCTTTGCCTGTGCCATTAGCAAATATCTTCCTAGGTTGGCTCATAGCATCCTAGGTTAGCTGCATGGTATTCTGTCTCCCACTGATGGGCATTTAGGTTGTTTGTAATCATTTGATATGGAAAACTGCTGCAATGTACATCTCTGAGTAAATACAGTTTCTTACAGTTGAAAGGCTATTTTTAGAATAAATTCCTAGATGCAGAATTTGTAGGTCAAACAGAATGTAACCATGTTGTTTTCTAGGAACACTTTGACAATATTTTTTAAAAGGTTTTATTTAGTTATTTGAAAGACAGGGTAACAGTAAGAGGGAGAAAGAAAGAAGGAGAGAGGGCAACAGAGAGAGAGTGAGAGAGAGAGAGACAGAGCGAGAGCGAGACAGATATATATATATATATATATAGAGAGAGAGAGAGAGAGAGAGAGAGAGAGGGAGGATCTTTGATTTACTGGGTCACTCCCCAAATATCCACAACAGGCAACAGCCAGGGCTGGGCCATGCCAACACCAGCAGCCAAACTCTCTCTCTGGGTCTCCCGCCGAAGCGGCAGGAACCCAGCACTTGGCGGCACTGCCACCTCCCAGGATGCACCAGCAGGCGGCTGGAGGGGAGCAGGTGGCCACACGCCCCGCTCTGACCACCTGCCCTCCCTCAGCCACGCCTGAGAGCGCCTGGCCCCGCCCCTTCCCCAACACAAACGCGCTGGTCTTTTTTTTTTTTTTTTTTTTTGTATCTCTGACAATCTGATGCACAAAACGGCCTCTGCTGTGGTCCTCTTCCCATAAGTCAGGTGGAACGTTTCTGTGAATTGGGCCATTTCTCTACTGGGTTGTTTTCCCTCACCGATGTGAAAGAACTCCTTACTTATCAGGAAAACAAGCTCCTGTCTGTAAGAGGAGCTGCAAATGAGCCACATCACTATTTGTAACTTTACTTTATTCACGGTATTTTTGACATTTCAAAAAAATGCTTTTCTCCTAATTGAGTGATCTTTCCTGTGTTTCCTGCCATACTCACTCCTTCCTTCAAGGCCAGCTTTCTTTAGGATTTTTATGGCTTGACTTTTAAGTCATTTAATCTTTCATCCATCTGGAATGTTTTTGCGATCAGGTGGGGGAGGGGCTTACTGTCAAATCAGATGGCTTTCCCAGCCCGTTAGCGAAGAAGTCACCTCTCACCCTCCGCGTGAGACGCCGCCTCAGTCTCCTTATGTGTCTGGCTCTATTTCCAGACTTTCTCTTCCACTCATCTGTCTAATTCTTCACGGCAAGATACCATGTAATTATGATCATTTTATAATCAGTTTTATTCTCTTTACACATTTGCCTGTTTATTCTTTTTTTTTTTTTTTCATATGAACTCCAGGATCAGGCTCTCTGATTAAGAAAATCAGATAGTATTCTTACTGGAATCATATCAAAATGATAACTTAGAATTAGCACCTGCAAGTCTATGGTGTGACATACATGGGGCACACAGGCTAAAGGCCATAAAGAAGAGACCTGTGGGATGAACCAGCCTGCAGATTTAGTGCAGGAGACCGACGGTGAATGCTATCCTGTGATAGCTGGGACTCCTGCTAAACCAGATTGCAGCTTCTCTTGCCAACAAGAGAAACTCTGTGAAATGATGGACATTTAATTTGATTCTATTGTAACCACTTCAATATTCGGATGAATCTCATCACATCCCATAGTACATCCTAAATATATACAATGAGGTTATGGAAAAAAGGATGCGCTATGCATTTTCATTTGTTTAAAATTTCTTTGCAATCTTTCCATTGCATTTCAGCATTTTCCCGTGTACAGTGAACAGTTTTCTTATGTTTCTTACTATGTTTCTGAACTTCCATTAAGTTACTTAGAATGATGGCTGCATGTTAATTTTGAATCCTGCTATACTGAATGTTAGTGTTCTAAATACTCCATGGTTCAAAGAGATAATTTCAAGGGGAAAGGAAATAACAAAACACATTAAGGAATGGGCGTTTAGCCTAGGGGTTAAGCTATCCCACGTAGGACAGGGTAC